TAGAGTTCTCATTTCATTTATATGATTTTTTTTCAACTCGTGCTTCATTTCTTCCAATAGAGCTCATGAATCCAGTAGTGCTTAATTGTTATATTCTTTGAGGTTTTGTTTTTAGATGATATGGAATTATTTGTCTGGGTTTATGTATTCAACATCCCAGGCTCTATGAGATGTTGTTAGTGTTTTGTTATGTTTACTCATTTTCCCAGCATTACTTCCTGAAATGGCACTTGTTTTGGGACCAGGCTTGGTACATTTCTAGAATGAATAGTGGACCCTCTTTGGTATAGAGCTGTTTTGTCTGGGGTCTGGGTGATAAGCTGTGTTTAAGTACCTTGAAGAGTTCATTTCTGCCCTATCTGCTAGAGTGGTGTACGTAGGGTGGGCCCTGCAGCAGTAGACTGGAGTGCCCTGCACCCTCCCTAGCAGCAGCCAGTACTGGTATGTCTTATGCAGAGTGTAGCCTGATGGTTGCCCTCCTAGTAAGAGTGTCCAATGGTTTCTGAACCCCAGTTTGTGGTCAGAGGACACAGTATCAGGTTAATTCTCAACATGAGAGGCTTCAGTGAGCTTCATTCCTGGGCAAGCCTTTTCTGAATGTACCCTTTCTTTATGTTTACCATTGTGTTTTTCCTTAGATTTGTTTTTTGTTTTTTAATTTTATTTTTAATTTATGGAATAAAACAAGCATTTCCATAGCATAGTACAATAAAAAGATGATTTCTTGTGAAACTGCAGATCCACTATGCACAACTTGGTATTCCTTTCGAATACACAACAAAATTATCATGTAAATTTCTTTTTTTTTCTTCCCTCCTTCACCTCCACCCTAGAGATGGCTACCATTAGCTCCAAATAGGTAGATGTGTGTAAAATTATTCTATACATACTTACAGTTCTTTGTCTGGATGCAGATAGCATCTTTCTTCATATGTCCTTTATAGTTAATTTGGGAATTTATAATATTCAAAATAACTTATTTACTCAAAGTCATTCTTAAAACAATATTGCTATTACTATATACAATGTCCTAATGGTTCTACTCATTTCACTCTTTATTATTTCATGCAAGTCTTTCCATGTTTTTCTAAAACAAAAAAACTGAGTTCATCATCTTATAGCACAGTAGTATTCCATCACAGTCATATACTACATCTTGTTCAGCCATTCCCCAATTGATGGGCATCCCTGCAATTTCCAGATCTTTGCCACCACAAAGAGTTGTTTATAACATTTTAGAATATATGGGTTCTTTTTCTTTTCCCCTAATTATCAACTGAAATAGACCAAGTACTGGTATTGCTCGGGGAGGAGTATAGGTAGTTTAATAACTCTTTGGGCATAACTCCAGATTACTTTCCAAAATGGTTGGATGATTCATAATTCTACCAACAATGAATTAGTATTCCAACTTTTCCACATCCCCTTCTATCATTTTAGCCAATCTGATAGGTGTAAAATGATATCTCAAGGTTGTTTTAGTTTGCATTTCTTCAATCAGTAATGATTTAGAGCATTTTTTCATATGACTATAAATTGTTTTGATATCTTCATCAAAAAACTGCCTGTTCATGTATATTGACCATTTATCAGTTAGTCAATGACTTGTATTCTTATAGATTTGACAAAGTTCTTTATATATTTTAGATATGAGACCTTTATCTGATAAACTATCTACAAAAATTTTCCCTCAGTTTTCTGCTTTCCTTATGATCTTGGCTATATTTGTTTTATTTGTATAAAACCTTTTTAATTTCATGTAATTGAAATTATCTATTTTATACCCAACTTTGCTCTCTACCTCTGGTTTATTCATAAATTATTCCATGTTCTCATTTTCTTGTAAAATCTCTGTTTATATCTAGGTCATGTATCCATTTTGACCTTATCTTGGTAAATGGTGTAAGATATGGGTCTATGCCCAGTTATTTTTATTCACTATTTTCCTTCCCAGCCTTTCTTTTTATCCTATCTCTATTACCTTATCTTCTCCCCTTACTCTCTTGCTCTTTATTTTACCCACCCCTCTAAAAGTCCCTCCCTTATCTATTATCTATTCACCCCACTCTCCTAATATTAATCTCTATTCCCTTTTGAAAGTCCTTCCCCTCCCTATCCCCCAGTTTGCTCACCCCTCTAGAAGTTCAGAAGACCTCTAAATCTCTTCAGATGTATATATTGTTTCTTCTTCCACCCAGATGAAATTAAGGTTCCAATATTATCTGCCCTCCACCCTCACCTGCTTCCTCTATTAGTTCTTCCTTTCATGCCCCATTTTCATAAAGTAATTTCTCCTTTTAACCTCTTCCTACCCAATTTTGTTTTCTTGATCATTTCTAGATCTAGTGCTCTCTCTTTAACCTTGCTGGAATTGTCATGAGAAAGCTGGGTTGTTTGGTTTCTGCCCACTCTACCATCTTTAGAAGAGTCTTAGCCCTACATTTTAAAGTAATGAGAGATCTGGTTAGAGAAGTATGGGAGATGGAGAGACATAACAATGCTTGTGGTTCAGGAAGCAAGAATTGTGTTAGAGTCAAATTGGCAAGTCAAGAGGCAGGGTAGAAAAGCGAGGATAGAGAGCCAGAGACAGGCTAAGGAGGAAGGTATAATCCAATTCTTTTATTTTTAAATTGATACTCCACTTTATTTTGTATTGTTTTAATAAGCTTTAGTCAATTTATTATGTATTAATGATGAACCCACTATTGGGTTGGTCCTCTCATTATGTGAGTTTGAGCTCCCTTAAGCCTATAATTTCAGTTGCCTATTATAAAATTTGAAAATTTATATTCCATAATTCATTGAGAATTGTACTTAATCAGTGTATCTAATCAATATTTGTGAATCAAATTCAGACTTGATTGTATAGGCTCTATTGGTAAAGTTTGTAAGAATCCAACTTCTCCATACCTATGGGCTATAATCCAACCACAAAATCCTAATCTGTTACTTTGGCTGACCATGAGAAGAGATAAGTCAATCTGATCCCAGGATGTTTGCCCATCATGAGACTTTCCAGGGGATGTGAGTCAGTCTGGTGATAAGCTGTGCCTGTCATGGGACTCTCCAGAGAATGTTACCTAATTCTTAAAACTTTCAGTTCTAATGATGTCAATCTCATTTGAAACAGCACACTTAGTACTGTATCTCAATTCTGTGTTTCATCCTCAGGTTCTGATCCTGTGAGGAAATAGTCTTATTACTTAAAATGTAAATTGTATTTCACTATATGTTTAAAGTATTGACAGTATTATAAAAATGGCATTCTAGAAAGGAGCAGTAGGTATCAGCATGAGAACATGGGGAAATTGGGCAGAGCTATTAAAATTAACTCTGAGTGGTGTAAATGTTCATTTGGTCCTGTGTTTGTCAGCTGTCTCACCTCTGCCAGTGAATGGAGGAACAGAAGGGCCCATCATGGAAACAGGAACTTAATAAAAGGTTTCAATATATAATTTGAAGTTATAAAAGAAAGATTTAATTTGTTCTGAATCTTAAAGTAAAGAATTACAGTAACAGGGGCCCCAAAATCTTAATGACAGAGTCATTCAGGGCCATATGGAAAGGTTTAGAGTATGCCTGTACACTAGTTAGAAGAGGTGAAAACACTGAACTCATCTTACACAGAGAATCAATCTTAATCCGTTAGTATACCTAGGTTATTAACCTAAGCAGAAATGGACTGGAGAGGCAAAAGACAGTTCAAGCCATGATCTAGAGTGGGATTAAAAGAAAATAAAAAAGCCTACCTTTTCAGAAATCTGCCAACTAAATCAGTAACTCAGTAACAGATATCTTTTTTGTCTGGGGTATGCCTTTACTAATCTGGCCCTATTTTCCATGGGCTTGCCATTGCCTATAAGGGGAGTTCAGGAAACCAAGCTGCAGCTGATACATCCATGCCCATCCAGGTCCAGGTGAGCAGTGTCCTGAGATTTTTATCCTTGCCTTTTTATCCTTATTATTATGTAATTAAAATCCTCATCCGGGAATTTTGATGAACAGCTGCATCTATCTCCTCCAATCTAGTTGCCGCATCCCCAGGTTCTCTTTCCCCAGAAACTAAAATCATCTTTTTAGACGATATTCTCCTTACAAGTTATTCTTAAGCTTATAGACTTTCCCTCTGTTTCTGTCCTCCCCAAAACAAACACTGATGTTGACCTTTGCAAATCCCTCCTCTCAGCATCTCTATCCTTAGGTGGAATGTAGTGTTGGTATAGGAGGCAGCTAGGTGGCACATTGGTTAGAGCACCAGCCCTGGAGTCAGGAGGAACTGAGTTCAAATTTGGCCTTATACACTTAGTAGCTGTGTGACCCTGGCCAAGTCACTTAACCCTGGTTGCCTCAGTTGTTCATCTGTAAAATGACCTGGAGACGGAAATAGCAGTTTGCCAGGAAAGCCACAAGTAGGGTCACAGAGAGTCGGGCACAACTGAAACGACTCAACACAAATGTTAACATACTCAAGAATGTGTCATTTCAGGAGTTGGTGATATTTGAAGATGTGGCTATTTACTTCACTTTAAAGGAATGGAAACTTCTTATTCCCACTCAGAGGGTTCTCTATAGGAATGTGATGCTGGAGAATTAGGGAAATGTGGTCTCAGTGGGTAAGGACTCAGGCCCCTTCAATTTTCCACTTATCCCTACGAGTTTCTTTATTGCATTAATGGCTCTGGGATTTCCAAAACAACCACTTGAGAATGGCTCAGCTAGTCATAGTCATAGTCTTCATCCCCCACACTGTCAGGGAGTTTGTTTTGTTTTTCAGTGATTTCCCCAATTCTGTGGGACTTATGTCTATGAAACTAGGTGGCTTCATATATCACTACTGCCCCATTCTTCCACCTCCCTATCAAGGAACTTGACCCTGCTCCCTTGGGCCTGAGACTCTATTCTAACTATCTCTTCTGATCACTTAACACACTATCTTGTGCTTTTTCTTTCCCAACAAGCAGGATTCCCATTTTCCAAACCTGCTCTGATCTCTCACCTAGAGCAAGGAGAAGAACCCTTTGTTCAGTATCTCCAGGAAACTGAGAGGAAAGATGTCCAGAAAGGTCATTGCTCAGGTAAGCAATAGAGAACCTGGCACTCCTTCCATTATTGTCTTTCCTTTCTATTTTTACCTTTGGTCATATGAGGACACATATTGAGGTCTGTTCCAATTCTGTGTCCAAGTAATTGATTTAAATGCTTAAAAAAAAAAGGGAAGGGAGGAAACAGTCCCTGCACTCAAGGAACTTATATTCTACTCAGGTGCCTTTGTACACATACTATCCCACATGCCTGGGATTCAGTCACTTCTTACCTTTGCTTCTTAGATCCTTAGCTTCCTGTAAGGTTCAATTCAACTGCCACCTCCTACAAGTCTTTCCTTATCTACCTATTAGTATTCTCTCCATCCTCATGACATCTGGCACTTATTTATCTGTATGGATTTGTTGTTCCTCTGGTAGAATATAATCTTCTTCAGGGCAGGGGCTGTTTTTCATTTTGTCTGTATACCCAGTGCCTAGCAATTAGTAGGCGCTTGGTAAATGCTTGTTGAATTGTGTTGGATTGAAGCTCCCGGGAAGTAGGACTTTATAGAAATCCCAAATATTGAGAAAGAGAATCTAAAAATAAGGATATCCACGCTCCTACACCAGTGATCCCTAAGAACATGAGTTCTTTATATGTGACAAACGTGGCCTGAGGTCTCGTCTTTCCCTTCTTCCTTGCTGTCCAGTGTTTGTGGAATAATTGCAGCTTTGTAGTACATGTAAATGGACATCTTTCTTCTCAGACCTTGAATGTTTTTCCTAGCTCAGAGTTAGAAAAGTGTTATCCCCTAATTCCACATACCCCTAGGTATTGTTTCCCCAACTCACATTCCCATTCTAAATGTCAATGATGTGCCTAACATTTCCAAAATGACATCATCCCCAATGCTCACATGTTATGCTATTCACACCAAATATTGAGCACATCATTTCTACAGAATATTTTTCTAGGTTCCACAAGTAATACAAGTAGAATATTGCATCTTCGATGTAATCATGCATGCTAAGATGTAGAAACAAAATTATATCCATGAAATTTAGGGAGAAAAGTTTCAAAGCATATATGGAATAATATGGAATGATATAGACAGAGTAACTCGTTTGCTAGAAGGATACAAAATAAAAGAATGATTAGAGTTGTGCTTGCTAAAATAGGGATGCCTTCCTGAAAAAAGGGAATTTTGAGCAGGATTTTAAAGGTTGAAGAAAATGCAATAGCAGAGATCTGTTAGGGTGGGATACCTGGCATAAGGCCCATATTTGAATAAATTCCCTGAGCTATATCTCCTTCCTTCCTTCCTAACGTAGCCCCAATTATAGTCACTTAGCATAGGTTGAGGGAACGTAACTCATCTTTATATATTAATTTTACAAAGACTCCTCACAACAGCCCTTTGAGAAGGTAGTGCAAATATTATCTCTATTTTTAGGTGAGAAAACTGAGTTACAGTGAAGTTGTGACTTGCCTGTGGCCACCTACCTAGATAAGTAATGGAATTGGGATTCAAATTGAGTTACCGAATTCTGCAATGAGAAAGGGTGAGGTGGTTAGACAGGGAATAAAGAGAAAATGTGGAGTCCATCTTCAAGTACTCTGTCATGGTAGACTATCATATAATTTAAGTTTGGCTACAACCTTTTTTTTGTTTTTATCCACATTACTTTAGTCATTGTGTATCTTCTCTTGATTTTGTTATTCTTTGCTCTACATCAGTTAATAGAAATATTCCTATGTTTCTCTGTATTGCTCATCTATCATTTTTATTTTGTTTTGTTTTTTGTTTTTGTTTTTTGGCTAGGCAATGGGATTAAGTGACTTGCCCAGGGTCATATAGCTAGTAAGTGTTATGTGTCTGAGGCTAGATTTGAACACAGGTCCTCCTGAATCCAGGGCCGGTGCTCTATTCACTGCACCATGTAGCTGCCCCATTCATCTATCATTTTTATGGCACAGTAATATTCTAATATTCATCTAGCACAGTTGGTTCATCCATTTAGTAATCAAGGGTGTCTACTTTTTTTTTTAAACTATCTATTTTTATTGATACCTTTTGTATTAGTTATTTTGTATTGTTATTATTTGTATTGCTTATTTTCTTTTTTACAATTTGTTTTAATTTAAAATTTTTTTATTCCAAACTTAACAAATAGCAAGTAAAATGAGTATTTCCACCTACAAAGCAAAACAGAAAAATAGGGTTGTGCATGAAACTATAGCTCTCTATTATGTATAGCTTGTAAGTATAGAAATTTCATTAAAAAGAAAAAATGTATTTGAAATAATTCAGCATACAACTTTCAAAGCTATCCTGGTTATCTCTATTTCTTTCTGGCTTGCCTTTTTTTTCCCTCTTGCTTAAATTACACTTCTTTCCTTTCTTTCTTTTTTTCTTTTATATCCCTATTGATATCTCCCTTCTCCCACCCAATTTCATTTCTACCCTTTCCCCCAATCACATCCGTGTAGGCAGCTTAGTGAATAAACCTGGAGTCAAGAAGACCTGAGTTCAAATCCAACTTCAGATACTTCCTAGCTATGTGACCCTGGGCAAGTCATTTAAAGTCTATCTGCCTCACTTTCCTCTACTGTAAAGTGGCAATAATAATGGCATTTACCTCCCAAGGTTATTTTGAGGATAAAATGAGATAATATTTGTGAAGCATTTTGCAAACCTTAAAGTGCCATATAAATGCTATCTATTATTATCATATCCCTTCTACTTTCTCTTCATAGTGGACCATCTTTTAAAAGATTTAAAAGGAAAGAGAAGAAAAAGCAATTCAGCAAAGTTAATTAATCCATGGGTAAAATAGCAGTGTGGTAAAGTGGAAAGAGGTTTGAATTTGGAGTCAGGATCTGTGTTCCAATGCTGACTTTGCCACTTATTGATCATGTGACCTTGGTCACATCACTTGACTTCTCAGGACTTCAGTTTCCTTCTCTGCTAAATAAGAGGGTTGTACTAGATGACACTTAACTCTAGTCCTCAATTTCTATCCAGCTCTAAATCTTTGTTACTAAATCTCATGTTACTTATTACCGTGTTAGACACTGTATACAATATTCCACACCTATTATCTGCCACCTCTCCAATGAAATGAGGGAGATGAATTTTCTCAATTTTTCTATACAGCCAAGCTTGGCCTTTACACAGCATTCTATTTGGGAGTTTTCCTTTGTTTTGCTTTTATTTAAATTATTGTGGTAATTGTGTACATTGTTCTATATTGTATATTGTACCTGGTTTTATTTATTTCCCTTTGATTCTGTGACTTTTTCCTATTTGTTGTTTCTTGTGGTACAGCATATTCCATTACATGAATAATTTGTCCCTCCTTTAATGCACACCTTCTTTGTTCTAGTTCTTTGCTACCACAAAAGTGCTACTCATGTTTTGATATTTATGAATGTCTTTGGACTCCTTAGAGTCTATGTCTAGGAGTGGAATTTCTGAGTCAAAGGACATGGAAATTTTAGTCATTTTCTGCATAATTCTAAAACTGTTTTTCAGGATGATTTAATCATTTCACAGCTTCAACAAATGTGTCCTTGTCTTCCTGCAGCAGTGAGATACTTTTGTTTCCAGTTTTTTGCAATCCTGAAAATGTGCTACTATAAATGTTTTCATAAATATGGGACTTTTCTATCTTTGACTTCCTTGGGGTATATTCTTAATAATTTTTCTTTACTCTTTCCTGGGTAACCAAATCGAATCCTGACTGATCTTCTTGACCCTTGATTTTCATGCCATGTTTCAGCCTATAACTTCTCCATAGGGTTAAAACATTATGCAGATGTGACATTGTCATTCATTCCTGACCAGGTAACTCATTTGTGCTTTCTTATACCTTCCCAAACAACTTCCTTTTTTTCTAGCATAGTAAACAGTTGACATCATATTTTTAATCTCTTTTAGGGTCAGATGTTAAGATGAGGATTGAAGATGAGGAATTAACTATAAAACAAAGAAGTTTTGGAAATGCAGAATGTCAAAGACTCCAGGATAATGTTTCCCACATACCTGTGTTTAGAGAAGCTAGTGAATGGAATAGTAAAATACAGAGTCCATGGGGTAAACCCAAGGCAGAGAGCCTGAGAGAGAAAAGATGCTTCAGTGCAGTGACTGCCAAAACCAAGAAAACCCTGAGGATAAAAATAGGGAAAAAAGGTAAAGAATTTGGGATAAATTTCCATCTGAGCTCTAAACAACTTTCATATTATAAAGTTGCTAGTGGACTAAGAAAATTCAGAAATGAAAAATATGACCACAGCTCCAGTTCATCACTTCTACTACATCAGAAAACGCATACTGAAGAGATACCTTATGAATGTAAGGAGTGTGGAAAATCCTTCAGGCACAACTCGGGCCTTAGGAAACGTAAGAGAATTCACAGGAGGCTTAAATTCTATGAATATGATGAATATAGGAAAGTCTGTAATATGAGCTCAACTCTTTAGAAGCATGAAAGGATCCACAATCCACACTGGGGAGAAACCCTGTAAGTGTGATAAATGTGGAAAGGACTTCAGTGACAAGTATTACCTTATTGAACATCAAAGAATCCACACGGGAGAAAAGATTTGCAAATGTAAGGAGTGTGGAAAATCCTTCAGTCACAGCTCTGTACTTACACAACATAAAAGAATTCACACTGGGGAAAAGCCTTATGCATGTGAGGATTGTGGAAAAGCCTTCAGGGTGAGCTCAGCACTCACAGAACATAAAAGAATTCATACTGGGGAGAAACCATTTAGGTGTGACCAGTGTGGGAAAGCCTTCAGTGGGTGGTCAGATCTTAGACAGCACCAAAGAATCCATACTGGGAAGAAACCCTGGGAATGTAAAGAGTGTGGGACAGCCTTCAGCCATAGTTCTGGCCTTAGACAACACAAAATAATTCATAGTGGGGAGAAGCCATATAAATGTAATGAGTGTGGCAAAGCCTTTAGTGAGAGCTCACACCTCACAGGACATAAAAGAATCCACACTAGCGAAAACCCTATGAATGTGGTCAGTGTGGGAAAGCTTTCCATCATAGTTCACACCTTACTGTGCATAAAAGAATCCACGCAGGGGAGAAACCTTATCAATGTAGTGACTGTGGGAAAACTTTTAGAGTGAATGGAGACTTGACTGTGCATAAAAAAAGAAAACATGTGGGGAAGAAATCTCATGAACTTGATGAATGTGGAAACTTCTATAATTAGAGTTTATGTTTCCTCTCTATCATTTCATACCAAAGTGAAAACTGATAAACAGAAATAGGGAAAATAAAGGCACAGCTGTGTATGTCAGTTATAATCAAGTTTCCTATATTAGTCAAAGAGTCCACAGAATCTGCAGTAGGCAAATTTATCAGGATATACATACATTTAGTAGAGAGGAGAGGCTTTCCTTAATATAGACATTAGATTGTTATAACTTTAGGAGAGTTCTAAAATGAAACTTAAAAGTTTTAGGAGGTAGAAGTCTGTTTGTAAAAAAGACCAATAAGAAAAGATAGGTAAGAGTATTGTGTTTCATGAGTTTGATTATATATGTACTATTAATTATATACTAGATTTATAAATGCTATGACATATAAAAAGTGTTGATCTTTGTTCTAAGCACTCTGCCTTGCGAATGGCAAATAGTTGCATCGAGTTAAGAAGAAGGGTATCTAATAAAGCAAGTTTCAAATACAAAAAGGACGTGACTTTGAATTGGTACATTAGGTGGAGAACTGTTATCAGTGCCAGGCTTTGCCCGAGTGTACTTGTAGTTAAAATCAACCAAACTAAGCACCTTAGTATATAGAAAGGGCATTAAATTCAGAAGACCTTGGTTGAAATTCTTACTTTGTGTAACTGGAAAAATGGGTTAAAGGACTTGGCTATTTTAGTCCTTTTAGCATAATTCCATAACTGGTTTTCAGAATGACTGAACTGCTTCACAGCTTCAACAGTTGTATATTACTCTGCTTGTCTTTCTGCAACAATAAACACCCATTTTTTCCCAGTTTTTTGCTACCCCCAACATGTGCTACAACAAATGTTTTCACATATATGGGACCTTTCTGTCTTTGACTTCCACAAGGATAGCATGTGAGACTTTATCAAATACTTTGCTAAAATCTAGGTAAACTAGGTGTGTGACATTTCCCTGTCTGGTTAATAAACCTTTCAAAAAAAGAAATGAAGTTAGTCTGGTGTCATGACTTTTTTTTAAATTCTAAAATGTATTTTTTGATACAAATAATGTTAATATGTTACCTCATATATTTCCCAAGTATCCTTCCTCTCAGAGAAAACAGTTTAGCAAAACTTAGAAACAATATGACATCTTTTGTACTCAGCACCCTTTGTCCCCCACCTCTACCAAGAAACTAGGCGGGGTTCTTTTTTCATATTTATTCATCACAGTCACTATTTCTTGTAACACAGTCATTTTCTGTCATATTCACATACAATTAATGAGCATTTACTTTGTTTCCAGTTCTTTGTTGCTACAAAAAGTGCTGCTCTAAATATGGTGGCGGAGCTTATCTTTTTATCATAAGCTTCCTATGGCATGACATGTTCTTATTAGTCTCAGTGCTCGCTGCTTCCTTTTTTATTAGGTATTAATAACTGACATTACATAGAGCTTCAAGGTTTGTAATGCACTTTTACATACAGTATCTTCTTTGGGACCCACTACCCAGTGAGGTAGATAATGCAAGTAGTATGATTCTTACTTTACATATTAGGAAACAGGTAACTTGCCTTGCCCAATGTCACTGAGCTAATAAGCACCAGAAGCATTCTAATAACACTTCAATTTTGGCAGAAATTAAAGTCAAGTTCAGCAGTCTAGTTTTCAGACTCCATTCCACTTTAAAAAAAAAAAGATGTTTGCTCTTTTGCCAGCCTGTGCTATTTCTTCAGTTTTCCATACATTTTTGAAATCGCTAACAGATTCAGTATTTCATATCTGTCAGTTCTCTCATTCTCCTAGTTTGTGACTTGAATTCATCAAGGGCAAGTAGGTGCTGCCATCCTTATTTAATCTTGGGTATCGGCTCCTTATTGGTAATATTTGTTTGTCCTTTCTGATCCAAAATCCATTATCCCTGGTGGAGAATGTTAAGCAAGGTAAGAGATAAGCAGCTCTGCCTTCTGTCATCACTATTCATCTGTTTATTCTTTCTACTCTCTGAGCTTTGGTTTTCTGTCCTCTTAAAATGAAGCTACATAATAATAGCATTTGTATAATGCTTTAAGGTTTTCAGAGTGCTTTCCATGTTATTTTAATCCTCAGAACAACTGTGTGAGGTAGGTTCTGTTATTTTTTCCCATTTTACGGATTAAGGAAACTGGAAGCTGAGAGGTTGAGTGATGTACCCTGGGTCACACTGCTGGTAAGTGTCTGAAGCAAGATTCAAACTCAGGTTTTCTTTACTCCAGGTCCAGTGCTCTATTGGGCCACATAGGTGCCTCTAACAGGCTGATAATACTTTTTTGCCACCTATCAGCAGCATTGTGAGAGAAGGTATAAGTAAACCGTGAAGCACTCAGAGCAAATTGGAAATGTTTTTAATTTCATCCTCATATTGCTTCAAAAGAGCAAGTAGGATGTGGTAGAGTCTGTGAGTCAGAAGTCCTGATTTCAAATTATTTCTGATATTAGCTATGTGGGTGCTCCTAGACAAATCACATAAAATTCTGAGCCTCATTTCCTGAGACTTCAATCTATAAAGTGAGAAGAATAATACTGGCACCACCTACCTTAGGTTTGATGTTGTGGAAATGTTTTACAAAACCTTCAAGCCCACTATAAAATGTGATTCACAATACCTTAGTGTGCTATATCTAGAAGGATATTGGGAGGATGTGACTATTTGAGCATACAGTTCACTTGGAGTGAGGAAATTGCTGAATAAAGGAACATTAGAAATGAAGTGCTCACAGTTTCATTTACAAACATCTTAAATTCTATGTATGATTCTTTTTGTTAATTGTTAAGTTCATAATAAAAAATACATTTTTATTTTCTTTGGAAAATGTCTTTTCTGGCACAACACTACTTATATCCCTCCCAGATGTGAATTGGTTACTAAATTTAGTGCTGAACCAGTATAACCCCTTTATTTGGTAGTGAGTAGCAGAGCCTGGGCTCCTGAATCTAAATCCCATACTCTCGATTGCACCATATTTTGTATGGCTAACTATTAAAATTTTTATGTGGGAAGGCCTTGATTGGTATCAAATTTGTTTTGAGTCAGAGAGGAACCTTTACCTTGGCCAACCCCTATAAGGGAGAGGGTGAAGAAGAACATCATATATTTCAAATCTCAAAAATGCATGATGGATTACTGAGGTTACTGTGTTTCAGAGTGAGGAAAAATATGGTGCCACATAAAACAGTTTAAAATTCCTACTTTTTAGCTTAAAAATATTAAATATCTACTATAGGCAATCATAGATTTATCATTGGAAGGGATTTTTCATTCTATTTGCACCTAGCCTTATAAAAGTCTTAAAAAAAGTTTTGGGTGTTAATCTGTAAATATTTCATGGAAGAAATAAAATCTGAAGGATGGCAAGTTTTCAGTATAATTCCAAGGGAAATAGAAAAGAATAATGATAAGTTAGAGATTGCAAGAGGAGAGTAAGCAGTTTAGCAAAGAACTTTTGATGTCAAACCATATGAGGATCAATGGAAGAATTTAGGGATGTTTATCCAGGAGAAGACTGAGGAAGAAATAGCAGATGTCTTTTAAGTATTTAAAGGGCTAGTATGCAGAAAAATGATAAGTATTTTTTATGTCTGGTACCAGAGGGCAGAGCATAGGTGGAAGTAGCAGAGGCAGAAGTAGGTTTAATGAAGGAAAGCAGAAGCAGCATGCAAAAGAAATAATGAATTTGGAATCAGGGAATCTAAATTGAAATTTTGGCTTTGCCACCTAACACTGTATGACCTTGAGCAAGTAGATCTGACTTTCCTTATTTGTAAAATGAAGGGGTTAGGGGATGGAGCCAAGATAGAGTAGGAAAGGCAGGGACTTAACTGAGCTCTCCTAAATTTCTCTGCAAACAACTTTAAAATACACCTCAAAATGAATTCTGGAGCAACAGGAACAACAAAAGGAAAGAGGGAAATAATTTTCCAGCCCAAAACAATTTAGATGGTCAGCAGGAAAGGTCTATCTTACTGGGGTGAAAGTAGAGCTCAGTCCAATGCAGGCCGCACCCAAGTAAGGCAGCAGCAGGCCTTGGGAATGTCTGATCAGCAGTGGTAGCTTCTGGAGCTCTCAGCTCACAAACAGTAAGAAGGCTGGACAACTGGTCAAAAGAAGATTAAAGGGGAGCCTTTGCTGGCACTGGGAGTAGGACTCTTACATCATCCATACACTATTCTGGGTCAGAGTCCTGTGGTGAAGAGAAGTGCTAGCATGATAAAGCATGCAGCCACAGGGGAGTGGAGACCCTGGTAACTGTTCCAGAGTGGGAAAGAGTACTTGTGCTCACTCCTAGACCAGAACATAGTCCAGGAGAGCAATGACCACACCTCTCCTTAGATCATACCACCATGGAAGAACTGAAAACTTACAGACCCTAAGAATTAGATCTAGAAACAGCAACACAAAAACCCTGAAGTTTGGGACAGTGCCCTCCTCCACCTCAGGAGCAGAGCCCAATTTTAACATAAAGTTAAAAGTCAAGAAATAGACTGGAAAAAAAAAGAAAAAACAAAACACGAACCTACCCATAGAAAGTTACTATGGTGACAAGGAAGATCAAAACACACACTCAGAAGAAGACAAAAAAGTCAAAACCGTTACAACCAAAGCCTCAAAGAAAAATGTGAATTGGTCTCAGGCCCCAAAAGAATTCCTGGTGGAGCTCAAAAAGGAGTTTAAAAATCAAATAAGAGGGGTAGAGGAAAAATTAGGAAAAGAAATGAGAGTGATACAAGAAAATCATGAAAGAAGAATCAACAGCTTGGTAAAGAAAGCACAAAAAAAAATACTGAAGAAAATAACACCTTAAAAAAATCAGAATTTGCCCAGTGGAAAAAGATGTGCAAAAATTCACTGAAGAGAACTACTTAAAAAAAAAATTGACCAAATGGAAAAGGAGGTACAAAAGCTCAATGAAGAAAATAATTCCTTAAAAATTAGAATTGGGTAAGTGGAAGCTAATTACTCCATGAAACATCAAGAAACAGTAAAACAAAATCAAAAGAATGAAAAAATAGAAGAAAATGTGAAATATCTCATTGGAAAAACAAATGACCTGGAAAGTAGATCAAGGAGAGATAATTTAAGAAGTATTGGACTACTTAAAAACCAAGAGTGTAAACATCATATTTCAAGAAGTTATCCAGGAAAACTGCCTTAATATCCTAGAACTAGAGAGTAAAATAGAAATTTAAAGATCCACCAATCACCTCCATAAAGAAATGCGAAGATGAAAATGCCCAGGAATCTTATAGCCAAATTCCAGAACTCCCAGGTCAAGGGGAAATACTGCAAGCATCCAGAAAGAAACAATTCAAATATTGTGAAACCACAGTCAGGATTAAACAGGATTTAACAGCTTCTATATTAAAGGATCAGAGGACTTGGAATATGATATTCCAGAAGGCCAAGAAGTTAGGATTACAACCAAGAATCACTTACCCAGCAAAACTGAGTACAATCCTTCAGGTGAAAAAATAAATATTTAATAAAATAGAAGACTTTCAAGCATTTCTAATTAAAAGACCAGAGCTGAATAAAAAAAAGAATGATCTTCAAATTCAAGACTCAAGAGAAATACAAAAAGGTAAAGAAATAAGAAAAGGAAAACATAAGAGATTCAATAAGAGTAAACTGTTTATATTCCTACATGGCAAAATGATATTTGTAACTCTTAAGAACGTTATCAGTATAAGGGCAATTAGAAGGAGTATACATGGACAGACGGTGATGGTGTGAGATGATTATGATGGCATGACATCTAAAAACATTAAGGGGTGAGAGATGCAGTGGGAAAAGAAGGAAAGGAAAGGTAGAATGGGGAATATTATCTCACATAAAAGAAGCATGAAAGAGCTTATACAGTGAAGGTGGGGGTGGTGGGCAATGTTGGGACCTTACTCTCATCAGAATTTGCTCAAAGAGGGAATAATAGCAGAACCCAGAGGACTTTGTATACAATAGCAGCCACGTTATGC